CTACCAAGACATAAATTCTAACCATTATGTAATACCAGTACACATCTACCAAAATAATTAAAACTAAAAAAAAAAATGATAATACCAAGTGTGGACAAGAAGAGAGAATAACTGAAATTTTTTATAGGTTATCAAAGATGTCAATTGAAAAACCATCTGCCAGAATCTAGAAAAAGTTGATCATATGTGTACCCTATAATGTAGTAGTTCCACTCCAATGTATACATACAAATGAAATGAGTGATTTTGTCCACTTTAGAACATAGAGAAGAATAGTAGCCAGGCATGGTGGCACACAACTGTAATCCTAGAGGCTTGGGAGGCTGAGGTAGAAGGATTGTGAGTTCAAAGCCAGCCTCAGCAAAAATAAGGCGCTAAGCAACTCAGTGAGACCCTTCCTCTAAATAAAATACAAAATAGGGCTGGAGATGTGGCTCAGTGGTCAATTGCCCCTGAGTTCAATACCAAAAAAAAAAACCATATACAAGAATATTTGTAATATCTTTATCTATAATAACCCCGAAGTGTAAATAACACGAAGGCCAATCAATGGAAAAATGGTCAAATAAAGTGTTGTATATTTATATGAATACATATCTCACAGTGATGAAAAAGAATTAACTATGTAACAACATGGATGGATCTTACATTAATGTTGAATGGAAAAAGCCAGATGTTTTTCAAGACCTCTTGTACAACACGGTGACATTAGTTAATAATAATGTCTTGTATATTTCAAAATCTTTAAAAGAATAGACTGGAGTTGTGGTTCAGTGGCAGAGTGCTTGCCTCACACATGTGAGGCACTGGGTTCAATCTTCAGCACCACATAAAAATAAGTAAACAAAATAAAGATATTGTGTCCATGTATAACTAAAAAATTTTTTTAAATAGACAATAAATGGTGAATATTTACTGGGAGAGGACAGGAATGAGATTTCTAGAGCACTAGAATTAGTAGTCTCTTTTGATGTTGGTAGTTACATGGGTAAACACTTTCATAAAATTCATCAATTAATCCATCACTTAAACATTATGACCATTATACTACACCTAAAATACCCATCACTTTTACAAAAGAAATGTCTCCAGGCCAAAAACTATAAAATAAAAAAAAAAAATCTCCAGCTATATGCAACTTATGAAAGATAGTACAACAATATAGATACTCAAAAAGATTGAATATTATATGATAGAAAAAAGTTAATTCAGGCAATACTAACTAAAATAATGTTGTTAAATTTATGCTAATATCAGAAAACGTATACTTACAGGTAAGAGAGAAAAACTGAGTTGCCACATTAAGTTCATAACATTTTCTTTCTCTTTTGAGAGGTGAAGAGGTCATTTACTGTGTTGTTTTGTTTTATTCTGACTGAGTTCATAGAAGCAAGAAAAAGTGTGAGCCTAGATGGGAGAGAGAAGACAAGAAAAAAATAGGTGTTTAGAATGAAGAAGACTTCAGAGGTAGAGCCAAGTAAGATAAGGAAACTTGAAGAATGTAGTTTCTCATCTTCTTAATTGAACATACGTCTCTACTGGAACCTTTCATTATGATGTCTTGACAATCATAATCATACATTTCTAAGAAATTTGTGGACTAGATGAGCCAGAGTCTTAGTGGGACTTCCCAAATCCTGAGCATTCAACCGATAGAGCCTTATTATATGTTTTGCTTCTGAAAATAATTACTTGAACAAAAAGTTTCCAGCAGGGAATTGAAAGAATTGTTCTTCCTTGAAGATAAGACTTGTGAATGCCCCATAGAGGAGGCAATTGAAATGTAATGAGGTGAAAATGGATTATGCTCTCACTTTTATGACACAGGAAGAAAAAGTTCTCTTTATAGGAAATTAATTCACACTTTCACATCCTTCAGAATGGATTCAGAATGGAGATATAGGCAAGCTAAAAGTAGGAAGAAATTTTATTTGGTCACTCAGTTTTAACCACTTAGTCTTTGTATAAGGTTTTTTTCCTGTGTGTCTGTGGTTTGGGTAAGAGTTTAGTATGTGAAAAACACATAATGTTTTCCCCAGCAACTTAAAATCAAGTCCAAAATGTCAGCACATCAAAAAATAGAAGGCAGACTATAATAATTTCTTTTTAGATAAGTTTTATTATGTATATTCAAGATATGCAACATATTATTATGATATGTATGTAGTATAATAGTTACTATAGTGAATCAAATTAGCATATTCATCATCACACATGGTTGCCCATCCCCCTCATCACAACTATAATCTACTCATTTAGCAAAAATCCTGAACACAATACACTACTATCAATTATAGTATCTGGGTTATACATTAGATCTCTATATTTGTTCACCCCACATATCTCCTACTTTGTATCCTCTGATCTGCAACTCTGCATTTCCTTCAGCAACCTGCCCCTGTTTTACTCTTTCTGTATATTTGGCTTTTATTTAGATTCCACATGTGAACTCAAACAATATTTTTCTGTCTTTGGCTTATTACACTTAGCATAATGTCCTCCAGTTTCATCCATGTTTGGCAAATGGCAAGGTCTCCTTTTTAAAGGCTGAATAATGTGTGTGTATGTGTGTGTGTGTGTGTGTGTGTGTGTGTGTGAGAGAGAGAGAGAGAGAGAGAGAGAGAGAGAGAGAGAGAGAGAGAGAGAGATTCTTTATCCACTCATGAGTGATGGACACCTAAGTTGTTTCCATTTCTTGTTTATTGTTAATAGAGACTGTATGACAGTCAGTGGCTCATTTGATTTTCACAACTATGTTATGAAATATATATGAATATCCATTTTACAGATTGAAAGATTTAGTCATAACCCAGGCTATGTAATTTGGCCAAGGTCACAGAGTTAGTGGCACTTTTAGGATCTAAATCCTGACTGGTGCCAACAACAATGTGTCTAACAAAAAATGTCATTCTGTGTTTCAAGAAAAGTCCTTTCTTTCATACCCTTCCTAGTCACTCTCTCTACTTTTAATACATGCAGTTAGCTAGTGAACAGTACCTCTGTGTGAACTGGGGTTGTGGCTCAGTGGTAGAGCGCTTGCCTAGCATGTGTGGGGCACTGGGTTTGATTCTCAGCACTGCATATAAATAAATGAACAAAATAAAGGCCCATCAATGTCAAAAAAAATATTAAAAAAAGAATTCTGAGATTGCTTGGTTCTCTTTCTTCCTCTCCACACATATGCAATACTGTTTTCATGTGATTTAAATTCACTGCTCTGAGGATCAGAGTCCAACATTTGTTTCTATATTATCAGTTTACAGAGCCTCCCAACCTTGTAGCACATCAATGTAGCAATTTGCACATTGCAGCTCAAATTTCTGTGCAAAATTCCAGTGTAAAACTCTGAGACCTTCTTCCACCTTCAACTCAGTTGTACATTTCCAATACTCCCCCAAATCACCTAATCCTTAGCATTACTGTCCATACCAATAGCCACCCTTAATGCCATAGGAGAGTCAAAGTTACTGATGTTCAGGGGACATGAAATAAGGAATGCTTCAGGATTAGGGTGGGAAGATAAGTTGCAAATGGGCAAAACTAGGCAATTTACTCCAAATTGTTTTTTTTCTTGGAATTCCTTTGTAACTCATTAATGTTTGGGTCCCAATTACACTTTGAGCTTCAAGAGGTTATGGATCATATCTACTTTGTTCACTAGTCAATATCCAGACCCTTTAACAATGTCTGACACATAGTAAATGCTTAATAAATATTTGTTGAACGAATGAAGATGATGATGATGGGGAGATGAGACTCCAACAACAAAGATTCCAAGAATTCAAGCATAGATGATGGAGAGACTACAGAGGTTAGAAAGACACAGAAAATAATGAGTTTAAATTTTAGACTTATAAGGTTAAGAAGCTAGTAGCGCATTCTGGTGTTTCTCTTGGGTAAAATCCCACATGCGTAATTGGAGCTCAGATTAGAGGTCAAGGCTGGCGATTGGCTGCTCTGGTGCATTAGCATAGGAGTAGCAGTTGAGATCACGTGGGAGGAGGGCGACTTTTAAAAGTGGGGGCCGCCGGATGTGACGCCAGTCGGAAGCCTGCAGAGGAGGAAAAAAGGTAAGTGAAGCAGCAGTAGCCGTTAGAGGTCAACTAGCAGGTGTAAGAGAAAGGTCAGGAAGTAGAAATATGAGAAAATATAGAAGAGATTGGCCCCAGGAAGACAGAGAAAGATTCTATAGAAGGAGCTGCTGTTACTGTTAGGATCAACAAAAAAGCTATTCATAGTGAGACTACTGGAGGTATTTGATTTGATAGTCCCACGAGTCACTTGTGACTTTAAGATGAGAAGTTTTACGGAAGGGCTAAGGAGTGACAGTTGGTCACTCCTTGGTAGGGTTATTATTATTATTACTGGTACCGGGGATTGAACCCAGGGGCAGTTAACCACTGAGCCACATCCCCAGGCCCTTTTTATATTTTAGAGACAGCGTCTCTAAAATTAGAGTCTTAAGTAGCTGAGTTGCTTAGGGCGCTAAATTGCAGAGGCTGGCTTTGCGACCCTGCTGCCTCAACTGCCTGAGGCACTGAGATTACAGGCGTGTGCCGCCTTGCCCAGATTGCCGGTGTTTACATGACTTGAATTTGAATCTCAAGTAGTTTGTGACTTTAGACAGGATAATTACTCGTAGGCATAATATGATAATAAAATAGCATTTACCTCACAGTTACTATGAACAGTAAGTGAATATAGGTAAAAATACTTAGAGAAGTATTTTTGCATGTAGTCACTACTCAACCTTTAGGTTATTTAGTGGAATGACTAGCCATGGTGAGGAGGAACTGGATGAACTTTTCTCTTGGACATAGCGAGTGTAAAATCATTTAGTTACTAATTTTAGGCATACCACAGAGACACAGAGTCGATTCTTCGAGAAAGTTCCAGAACTCTAAAAGTTTTTTTTTTTTTTTTAACCGGTCAGGTGCAGTATGTGAGCCTTTTTTCAAGCTCCACCCCTCTTTCCTAGGTTAAGAATCTAGTAGCCTTTCGTGGTGGTCAATCAGTGGTCTTTGGCCCCGCCTCCTGGAGAAAGGAAGTCCCCCTAATTAGACGCTTTCGTTTCAGTTTAAGCCGAGGTGCGTGTTTGAAAATTGGGATAGTTTTAATTTTAGTGTTCGAGACAAAGTGGATTTCCCCCCCTACTTTTAAACTAAATCCAGCAAGGAAGTAAGTAAGGCGGATGGGAGGGCACCGTCGGAACTGAAGTGAGGTAAAGCTTAAGGTTGGGACGTCGGAGTGCTTTTACAACGGACCTAGCTACTTCCGGGAGAGAATGGGCGGGTAGAAAATTGTGTGCGTTTGGCGGGTTTCGCTGCTTTCCTAAATATTTCCTCATTCTGCAGCCGAGCGAGGCAAACACGTGAGGACATAGTGACTCCGCCACAGCCGAAACATACTTATCCAAGCTCCCCTAGGACCATGTCGGTGGTGAGTGTGCGGGGTCCCGGCAGGACGCCTGGGCGCTGGGGCTTGGGCTGCCGAGGGGAGGGACGTGAAGCTGGGTGCCGGCTGTTGGTCACGTGTCAAACGGCGAATCAGGGTCTGGCCCGTTGGCCTCCGGGGCGGGACCCACTGTCTGCTGCCCGCCCCCCAAACCGCGCGTTTTCTTAATGGTATCTGAAAGGACCTTGAGGTGGGGGAACGGAAGGTGGGTGTTCTGGTCTGTTGTTCATGGCTTACCGTGTCCTTTGTATTTTCTCCCGTTCTGAATCACTTTCGATCACCTGAAAAGGAAATGAAACTTGCGATTCATTATTTTTGACTCAAATAATAGTCCTAGCCCAGTAAATAGCTGAGGAAGGAGGTACTTAGTCCTTCACCCTCTTTCGGGAACCCCGTCAGCCTATCCCGTTTAATACTACTTTTACAAACAGTAGTGAATGTTTAAGTAATGTGAGAAAGTTTGTTAAGTGGAGCTGTCCAGTTTCTCAAGTAGTTCTTGAACTAGTGTTTTCATTGAGCAACTTTTGAGATTGGTCATACAAACGAACTCAGTCCTTTACAAACTTGTTTAGAGATAAGTCAACCCTCTCCCCAGCTTTAAGGTTCAAACTGTGTCATTTTAAGGTTAATGATTTATAAAATTCTGAGTCTTCCTTTCCTTAGTTGCCAAGCAAAGATTATGAATTTTTCTGCTTGAAGAGTAAAAAAAAAAAAAATTCACTGAGCTGATTATGCCCTAAAAAACTTGACCTAAACATAGTGAAAATTTTAAAAATTGGAATCTTTCAAGCCCTAACTTTTAAAATGTCTAGATTTATGAGGAAGAACTTGAACTCTATATAAAAAGCTACATAGTGGTGGAAATCATCAGCTTCTGTTTGTTTTGTGTTTCTGAGGGGTTGAATGGATGCTAATATAATTTTCTGTAATTTTTCTTGTAGGATTTTAAAATGTATGTAGATCAGGCATGTAGAGCTGCTGAGGAATTTGTTAATATTTACTATGAGACAATGGACAAAAGAAGAAGGGTAAGTGTAATACCACTTTATTAAAACACCAGGTTTTTTTTTTAAAGAGAGAGAGAAGTTTTTATTTATTTTTTAGTTTTCGGTGGACACAGCATCTTTATTTTATTTTTATGTGATGTGAGGATTGAACCCAGCACCCTGCGCATGCCAGGTGAGCGCGTTACTGCTTGAGCCACATTCCCAGGCCAAATACCAGGTTTTTAAATATTATTTTTAGTTATAGATGGACACAGTACCTTTAATTTGTTTATTTTTTATGTGGTGCCGAGGATTGAACCCAGTGCCTCATACTGCTAGGCAAGCATTCTTACCATTGAGCCACAACCCCAGCCCCACCAGGTTTTTTTTTTTTTTTTTTTGAGCCAGCTATTTATCTGACTTGCAGAAATGATAACTATGGATGTGTTTAACACCAGTTGATTATGGAAAGATTGGTTTGGTAGTAATGATAGTTGGAATCTGGAATCATATCATAGGATTGCCTTTATTTCCAGGTCCTTGAATGAATTGCTAATTTCTGTTAAGCACATTTTATTTTTAGGGTAGTTAATAAGACTTAAATACTGCACTGCACTGAGGAGCCCAGCATATATTTACTTAATTATGTAACATTTTCTTAGTCCCATTGTTTAACCAGTATGGTGAAAGAAATATCAGTACTAGTGGAAGGATCTGTCTTTACAGGGATGTTTCCTTATTTAATATATTAATAGATAATTTCTACTTAAGACTCAACAACTACAGCTGGCACTTAAAAGAGAATCCACATATTGTTAATGCTTCTACTTCAACAGACCAAGTTATCACTTTATCAGCGTTTTTATTGATTTATCACTGGGCTCTATGTCTACGTAATTATTTCAGTATGTGATCAAGTGAGTCTTACCTAAGTCTCCCATCAACATTAAAACTGTGCTTTATTTTTAAAGATAACAGATGATTCTGCCACTGATGTTTGGCAGTGGATGTGTATTATTCCATGTCATGAATGTTTCTTGTGTCTCACTGCTTTCAAAAATAGAGTAGTAATAAAAGGCAGCATCTGTTGTCTTTTGACCTGTTAAATATTTTAATAAAGCAAATTATATGTCCCTTAACCCTAAAGAGGTAACTTGAGCTAGGTGTGGTGATGCATGCCTCTAATCCCAGGGTCTTGAGAGGCTGAGGCAGGAGGATCACAAGTTCAAAGCCAATCTCAGCAATTTAGTGACCCCTAAGCAACTAAGCAAGACCCTGTCTCAAAATTTAAAAAAATAAATATAAAAAGGGCAGGGATGTGTCTCAGTGGTTAAGCGCCACCCCTGGGTTCAGTCCTTGGTACAAAAAAAAAGTGGTAATTCGGATTTTCCTTTGTGTGGACCCTTTTTTCACTTACCATTTCAATTATGAGCTCTACAAATGCTCATGATGCTTTTGAAATATTATGCTAATAGAGTAGTAGCAAAAGGAACTAATTTTTCCTTATACATACAAACACCAAATTATTTCATGTATATAACCACTAGGATTATAGTAGGGCTTAATTGGAACTTTGTTAATTCTCATTTTAAAAGGTACGGAAAATAATCTGAGCATGGTGGTGCACGCCTGTAATCCCAGCAGCTCTGGAGGCTGAGGCAGGAAGATCATGAGTTCAAAGGCAGCCTCAGCAAAAACGAGGTGCTAAGCAACTAGTGAGACCTTGTCTCTAAATAAAGTACAAAATAGGGCTGAGGATGTGGCTCAGTGGTCAAGTGACCCTGGGTTCAATCCCCAGTACCCCCCCCCCAAAAAAAAAGGACAGAAAACAAAATTGGTTTGAGGCTGTATGTACTTAGAACTTGTGATCATTTAATTCAATTTAAAACAGAAAGCAAAACTGTAATACTCTGTGTTTGGATGCAAGGTTTTCTCATTATGACTGAAAAGGAAATATGAAAAATGTATTTATTGCATAATATAGAAATGATAGCATAATATTTAAGGCCAACTATAAAATGGACACTTAGCTCACATTGGTTTCTGGTGGCAATGGGGCAGAGGAAGTGGAGATGGAGGTATAGCTGTGAAAGTGTTTATATGCCATGCACAACCTTTTAATCCGTTTCTAGAAAATGCTTATCTGAGGGAAAAAATCCCTTTAAAAACTTTTCTTTCTTTATAGGCACTTACCAGGCTGTATTTGGACAAGGCCACTTTAATATGGAATGGAAATGCTGTTACAGGGCTAGATGCCCTAAGTAATTTTTTCGAGATGTTGCCTTCTAGTGAGTTCCAGGTCAATATGTTAGATTGCCAACCAGTCCATGGTAAGTTGATCTTTCAAATTAATTCCTTTGTTTTCTTTAGTGGGCATTAAGCTTTCATACCAAAAGTGGCAAATAACTTAGTGGTAGAAATATTATTTGAGCAAGTTAAATATGAAAATTTCATCTTGGTCTTCCATTAGATGCTTCTCACTCCATAGAATCACTAATAGGTTTTGGTAGTCTATGGAATTATGACCCATTGAAAGTTATATGAGAAATAGAGATTAAATATTATTTTTGTTAATGAAGTGTATTTCCAGAGATTTTATATATTTTTTTTTGGTACCGGGGGTTGAACTCAGGGGTCCTCTACCATTGAGCCACATCCCCAGCCCTTTTTATTTGTTATTTTGTGTCAAGGTCTCACTAAGTTGCTGAGGCTGACCTAAAACTTCTGATCCTCTTGCCTCAGCTTTCTGAGTTGCTGGGATTATAGGTGTACATCATCACACCCTGTTTCCAGAGAAAATTTATGCCATATCTCTAATGTGCTTCAGTATTTTACAGCATATTCAAATTTCACGAAAATTTATTCTTTTATGTGAAAGGATGACTTTAAGCCAGACAGAATTTGATTTAGAGTAAATTGATGCAGTTTATAATAATTACCTCTAGGTGGGGTCCTTAGTATCTTAAGTAGTTGTTTAGGGTGATTATTTTTCCTTTATAGTTGTTGAAGAATAACTTAAGTAAAATATCAATAAAGCTCTGTTAGAAAGCTAATGAAATATTAATATATACAGGAAGCAAATGGTCCTATAAGTTCTTTATTTTGAAACTTCAGATTACCCCCAAATCTTTCTAGATCAAAAGTAATTTTGATATTTTTGAAAATAGTATTTCATTTTCTGGATTTGAACATACATGTTCAAGATTATGCTTAAGGTAAAGAATGTTTATGGAAATTTCATTATTAGATCATAAGCAATTGTAGCCTGAAAATTTGCCTATTTAGAGACAGAAACTAAGCTCTTTCTTCTTTGTGTTTGGACAAAGAGCAAGCTACCCAGTCCCAGACTACAGTTCTTGTTGTGACCAGTGGAACTGTGAAGTTTGATGGAAACAAACAACATTACTTCAACCAGAACTTTCTGCTGACTGCTCAGTCCACTCCTAATAGCACCGTGTGGAAGATTGCTAGTGATTGCTTCCGTTTTCAAGATTGGGCTAGTAGTTAAAGGGGTAAAAGTCTATTCTTTTTTTTTTTTTAATTTTTTTTTTATTGGTTGTTCAAAACATTATAAAGCTCTTGACATATCATATTTCATACATTAGATTCAAGTTGGTTTTGAACTCCCAATTTTACCCCAAATACAGATTGCAGAATCACATCGGTTACACATCCACATTTTTACATAATGCCCTATTAGTAACTGTTGTATTCTGCTACCTTTCCTATCCTCTACCATCCCCCCTCCCTCCCCTCCCATCTTCTCTCTCTACCCCATGAAGCAGAGGTCTGTGTGAATTGATTCATTTAATTAGAAAAACACTGTAAACTGGTTTGTGCTGAAACTAAGTTTCTTCGGTATTTTTTTTATTCCTAGCAGCACCTTTTCTAGCAGCTGCCAGTTTGGTTTGTTGCCCTTCAGAGCTTTAATGCTAGTTTTTTACATGCCTTATATACATTCCACTAATGACATTCTTAAAGTAATGTTAAACACATGATCTTGGTACTAACATACTCACTGTGAACCCAGCCTATCGCAAAAATGGAATCCTTTTGTAATACTATCTGTGGAGTATCAACACAATATAACTCTCTGGGAATAAGTGGGATTTTTTTTTTCGGTTAATAGGTTGAATTTTTACTAAACCACATGCCTGTTTTCAGTTAACACTGGTAATGCATTGCAATATATAGTAAGTTTATCAGTTCATAACTACTATGACATATTAGAATTGCATGTGGAATATTTAATAGACTTTTTCGTGTTAAATTTTCTTATTTTGAGTTTTTATTTTATAAGTGAATTAATAACTAAATAGGTAAAAATATTTTAAATTGACACTTGATTGTTGGGTGCATTTGGTGGATTAAGACTTCTTAAAAACATATATCTTGGCAGCTCCAGGTCTAGAAATTTTGGTAATGAGTGCTAGAAGAACTAATAGCTTTAATGGGAGAATGGGGAGTGAGAAATGTAGAAATATCCAAGGTTGAAACCAAAAGTGAGGGGGGGGTGTGACTAAATGGTAAAAGTTTTGTACTCGTTTACTACCTCCTAAAAATGTAAACTATTTTTAGGATTTAAATCACTAAGTTATTATGTATCCTTGCCAAATGTCATGAGTGTCACATTTGTTCTAAGAATGATTTTTTTAAGGTCTTTATATTTCACCTTATACTTGTCACCATCATGTATCTGTTTATTCAAAAACTTATGGGGGTAGAATGTCAGCAATAAGCCTAATCTTGTAACAGGGTCTAGAAGGAAAGTTGGAAACAAAGCCATTGCTATCTCTTTGTGACACCCTTAACTAAGTCTTCCAGTGAATTTTAGGCCCAAAGATTCCTATGTATTACTCACCCCCATGTTTTGTGCTGTTAACTGTATTATATATTATTTAAAGTTAAAATTATTTGGTTTGTGATTCGTTCTTCCATATGACATTGGGCACATTTATTTTAAAACATGTTCCTGTTAACATGACTATCTCATTGCCTTTTTTGAGAGAAAAATAGAGAACAACAGATCTTCATGATAAACTTCAAAAGAACAAATAGATTAATTTTATGTCTTGACTACTGAAAAGGAAAAGAATAACCTAGCTCTGGTTCTTGCTTATTGTTTTAAAATATTTGCAATTTATAATGTTTTAAAACTAGATATGCCAGCTTTGTTTCTACATTGCAACCAAGATTAATGTTTCTTATTACTTAATCTTAAAATCAGCAATTCATTTACTCGCCCAAAGCTATACACTGTATTTCTGATATACTATCAAAATAGAATTAAACGAGAGAAGTGGGTAGAACTGACATTTAAACCACACCTTCTTTTAGTACTGATCAAAAATTGCACATTATTTCCTACTCAAAGGGAGCTTATTCTTATTTTGAATTGATTTTTTTTAAAACCGCAGCTCTAGCAGCAACAAAATGCCCAAATACTGCCCTTTCTCTTGTGAATAACAGTCGCAAATAAAAGCTGCGTATAACTAGCAATAACTGAATTGAATGGTTGTGAATTGCTTTCTCCAAAATCTGTATAACTTTTAAATGGCTAGAACTGCTCTTATATGGACTAGACTATTTTTGACATGCTCATATTTTTATAGCTTGAAAAATAAAATTTGCTTTGTGAAAAGTTTTCTCAAGCTTGTTTTAAGATGTTTTGATTTTTGTTTTTAAGGCTCCCAAACAGCTGGTTGCTTCTTTACAATATTTAGGGTTTTGAGATTTAAAACTAGCATCAAAATGTTGAAAACAGTGGTTGACATCAGGGACTTTTTCTGTAGACTGCCTTATTCTTCCTCTTTTTCTGCATGTATTCACATTCCCAAGATCACCTGTTTGAGGTACTAGTGAAGACTGTGGTAAGAAGTGAGAAATCCTAGCCTTGAGAAACTAGCCAAAAGGTATATTCAGGAGGCAGTGAAATCAAAGTACAGATGGGTTCCACAAAAAATGTTTCCATTAAATTTAATTCTATATTTAAAATATGTTGACAGACATTTTTTAGGAAGAATGAGAAGAGCCAATAACCATTAAAATCAAATATTTTCATGTCTTCAAAGATGCACATATTTTTCACATTTTAACATCACTAAAAGACAAGTATAGGGCATTGTTGGAATTATGTCCCATGAAGGGTCTTGGAATCCAGCATAAATCTGGGATTGAGGCACATGTATCCTTAGATGGCTTTCAAAATTTTCCTGATTCACAATAATTCATATTTTACATCATAACCCAATATGCAGATGCATAAATAAACAGAAAAAAATGATTACACGTGCAATGTATTCCTGGCATTTTCTGTTAAATTCTATTTTTTGAAAATGCTAGCCATAACCAGCTCAGTTGATGTTTAAAACTTTTATTTAACTGGCTGTACTAACACTTTGAAAAACAAAAAAGCTGAGGAAGCTTATTTCAACTGGCATTTTTTTCTTAGGGATGTAGGGCCAGCTTCCAAAAAACGGTGCCATATGTTAGTGACATTACACTGACTTATAAGTTGTCAGAAATTTCTTTCTCATCTCAGGTTTGTCATATCTGTTGATGGCCATAAAGGGCAGCATTGTATTCTTCCCATTCCTCCATTTGCACCAGAAGTTCAGCGCTAAGAAAGCAAATGTTTAGGTTAGTCTTTAGGCATAATCTGAGAATAGCATGAGGTAGTGAAAAGGAGTAGAAACAAATGAACTTGTTCTGTTTCTGATGCTCACTCAGATAATAAAGGCATCTCATTAGAGCTGCTTTTGAACATGATTCAATATTGCATAAGCTATATTTCAATAAATTTTAAGTCCGTTTCACAGTTTGTTTTTTTTTTTCTTTTCCCACCCTCCTTAAACACCCAAACACCTGCATATCAGCATCTCTGGTTTGACAAAGTCTGTGGTGGTCTCTAAGGAGCAAATCCTGATCTCAGACCCTAAGAGATGTACTCTAAGGTCATTCTGCCCCTTACTACATTGTGACCTTAGGCAATTTGCTTACTCTGGGCTCCTGTCTTCAGCTATTGAGTGGAGATATTTGCTCTGTTTGGCCTGCTAGGGAGTTGTGCATACCATGTGCTGCACAAATGCAATGGTTATATTTTTGGCTTTGTGATTGACTTTTTCTAGTCCCCAAATTCTTTCTTTTAGGGTAAAATTAATTGGTAGGGCTTACTGTCCACAGTCAGACACTCATCCTTTCCACTGTCTTTAAAAGATGGTTATTTCAGCTCTATAAAAAGTTTTGAATCAAAATGGGTAAAGTTGGCTATGTTGCTGTAAAAAATAAGATTCGGGTCCTTGAAGGAATGATTAGCAATTTCTGACTACATTTTTGAGAGAAAAGGGTGGGCTGATAAATTAATTCCACTTTTCTTGCTCAAGGGCAAGAAATCAACAAGAGAAGCCTGCAACATTTACCAAGTCCAGGTACCATGGTCCACCTTGGATCCCTGAGGTTCCAGAGGTGGCCAACATGCTTTGTTCCCTTGACACTTTTGACCCCATATCCCAGGCTTATGGCTCTTGAAAGAGTCTCAGGGAATGATTTCTTTAATTTGCTAATCTGTTCATTAGTAGTGCCAGGATTCCCAGTGGTCTGGGCTCATCCTCAGAATTAACAATTACTTGACTTTAAAGTTTTCCAGAAATGTCAAGCCTGGGGGAAGGAGCCAGAGGAAAAATTAGCTGCAGGCAGAGGCAGGGGTTTGGAGAACATTTGGAAAGATGGTGCTTTCCAAACACCTGAAAATAAAAGGGGAGGAAGCAGCAAGAGAAACCAGAAAAAACAGCTTTCCCTGAACAGGTAATTTATAATAACTCTGGAAGGGAAGGCATGGTGATAAAGGAAACCCTTGCACCTGAAAATCTCATGTTCAGGTGCATGTGTTTGTATACACACACACACACATATACACATGTAAATATATATATATATACACACACACACACAAACTCTCTCAAATCTCTGGGATGCCAATGACAAGACTTCCATGACCCTTTCTCCCATCTTTCTGGGGGCACTATATCTGTTATTCTTCCCACTTAGTGGCAGAAGCAGGACTCAGACCAGACCTTTCATATTCTTAATGTACAGTCACAATTGTTGTGTTGTAAATGGTTGAAGTCAAAACTGAGGGATGGTTAGCTGCCCATATATCAAGTATATACATGTATCCACTCATTGCACATCTTTGCAAGCAATTTTATTTCCTTAACTTCCCTGGCTGGAAGACTTCTAGAACCAAGTGTTAACATGAAAAGCATGTTCAAGTGTATGTGTGTGTGTGTATCATATATGTGTGTGTGTGTATATATATATATATATATATATATATATGAATGATACACACACACACACACACGCACACATACACACACACAGTCATCCCTGCATATCAGGAGAGAATTGGTTCTAAGACTCCCCCATACCATGATCTGTGGATGCTCAAGTTTCTTATATAAAATGGCGTCATTTTTGCATATAACCTGTGCACAACCTCCAGTATGCTTTAAATCATCTCTAGAATACTTACAGCACCTAATACAATATAAATTCTATGTAAATAGTTGTTATACTGTATTGTTCAGGGAAAATGACAAGAAAAAATGTCTGTAGTCAGTACAGAAGCAATTCTTTCTCTGAACATTTTCATCTGCAGTTGATGGAATCCCCAAATGTGAACCCATAGATACAGAAGGCCAAATGTGTAAGTAAATTAATGTAAAGCTTAGACAAATGTCTGGAAAAGAAATTACAATAGCCCAAGGTTGGAGCCTCTCTCACCCCCACTGGAGCAAGCCCAAATTGTATATGCTGTCTTAGAAGCATCATAAATAAGGTGATGCCTCACAGTCCTGCTGGTCTGCCTAAATACAGACATCCTGTTAATCATCTAGGTGGTTAAAAGGGGTTTAGAGGTGTGGCAGCTGTGAATACTGCTCAATTCTCCCTTTAAGAAAGAGCTTACCTTTGAGCTTTAATTACAGGTAGCTGAGAGCCTCCATCTGCAGCACCTGAAGGCTCTGCTGCAGTATTTGAGCGCAGAGTCTGCTGCATGACTCTAGTAAATAACTGAGCACAGTGAGCGTGCTAAAACCCTGCCATTTCCATCCAGTGCAGGACTTCTCTGATGGACTATCTTTGCTCCACAAAACTCTGTGGACTGGCTGAGACTTCGTCAAGCCACACCACCGCTTGCCTTATTCTGCTTTTATCCTTATTTCCTTTCACAAATGCTAGATAAACCTCAAGGTCTGAAGACTTTCCTGCCCACCCTTGCTTCCTCCCTCTTTTACTGGTGTTAATCCCTAATAAACCTCTTTGACTCATAAGTCCCATCTCCTATCTGTTTCATAAAGAATCAGAAATGACCCCAGGTTTTGTGTTGCCTATCCTTTGCTGAGTTGAAACACTGGTAAATTATGAAAGTTGTGACTTCTCAAGCAGATGTCCTACTACTAGCCTGCCTGACAATTATGAACATGTCCACAGGCAGGAGAAAAAAAGCAGGAGGCAAGGATTTATGTTAAAACCCCATGCCCAGGTGGCGGGAGACGCTCTCCAGCCACTTGGACAGAAGGTGTGGGATCATGGCTAATTACATTTGGCCTTGTGATGGCTGGAGTTGAAGAAGGAATGGAAAGACTGTCCATCCAGGCCTGTACTTAGGTTGTCCAGGCCTGGGAGTTGGAGATAGAGGATGGGGGGATGGTGAGGGGGATGCTGAGGAAATGGGAGTGTTTGGCCCAAGTGTCACTATTAATATACACTAAGAGGCCTGAGCATCCTGACATCTTAGCATCCTGGCAGAAAAATCTTTGTTTAACCAGTATTTTCATACATGCTGGCCTACCAAAGATTTCTGTTTGTCCTTGCCTTCTGCCCCACCCTACCTTCTAATCTGACCTTTGTGTGCACTTGAACCACTGTACCAGTACAAAAATTATGAACCTGGTCTGAGGTCCCACAGAATTGCTAGAACTTAAGGGGGATGTTTATGATCCTACAAAGAAATTTTATGATTTTATTTATCTAGGAACAAGGAGCATAGCTTTCATCAGCTTCTCAAAGGAAATTATAATGCTAAAGAGATTAGGAGCTATTGGTTCAGGAAAATTGAGTCCATTTTTATGGAATAAGTAGGCAGATATTATTACTGGCACATAGTAGGTACAAAAAATTATTGTTATATGCATCAATGAATTAATGACTAGAAATGACTATAGGTAGCAAAAAATAATATAAGACAAAACATTTAGCATTATAGCTGACACATAATAAACATTCATTAAAAATAATTATTACATTGTCAATCTTTTGAACTAAAATCTAGTACTCTAGGGTGACTAAATAATAAGGTACTTAATGATTCTCTGGATATAATAATAATTTTCATTAAAATGCAATACTGAATGTCCTTGTACACATATTTTAAATATTATTACTTGCACATTATAATTAAATATAATAGTGTGGTTCATTTTGACATCATACATGCATGGAATATAATTTGCTCCATTTCAGTTCCCAGTGCTTCCTCTCTCCCTCCCCTCTTCCCTTCCCCTGTTCTCCTTCCTCTACTTTACTAGTCTTCCCCCTATTTATTTATTTTTAATTGGTGCTTTGTAGATATACATAAATATGAAAGTCA